TAAAATACACAATGACTTACCACCAAGAATGTATGTGCGAGTTAGAAAACAAAACAATTCTTTGCGCGTAATAAAAGGTTTTAAGACAGGTAAAACACGTTGACTTTTATAACATATTTAGAGGGGTTTTATAAAAATGTGCAAACCCAAGGGTCTTTTTGCACCAATTTAAGAGGCATATACGGGGAGTTATTTGTAAATAAGAGTAGTCTTCATTTTCATATGTCATGTGAGCTTCACACTAAATGACACTAAATGTGACATCCAATTTTCACATGACACGGCTTTCTTATCTTCAAAAATATAATGATCAAGAAAATGACCTTATACCAAATATTTAAAAGTTATTTACTAACAAATTTATTTAGTAAATTAACTACTTAAACTTTGGTTACCGTTAGTCTGGTAGAGATGTAAATGATGTAATTCATATGGTAATATCTATATTATAACTTTATAATATGACCAATATTTTTTTAATTAATGAATGCAACCAAAATTACGTAAACGTTATTGACGATGCAACTTCTTTCATACGTAATATGCGGGCCGGATTTATTTTTTTCTTTTTTATTATATTTATTTAAGATCACAAAATAGTCCAGTCTTAACTTATAATCAACATTCACAAAGTTCCAAGAAACATGAGTTGAATCTCGATTTTAAGTTTATTCAACTCATTTTTTAATATTTAATTCATGAAAATAATAGTTAAAAAGGTCACCAAATTGATGCAAGCATGTGAGAAATCTGAGTCACAAGTTGAGGCATCCATGTTCTCTTTGTTTATAAATCTTGGCACCATGTCCCATATATATATATATATATATATATATATATATATATATATATATATATATATATATATATATATATATATATATATATATATATATATAATGAGTATAAGAATATACTTTAGGTACATGCACCTTGAAATTCTGATATTGGTTTGAACTCTTTCTTTTTAATAATATGAGGTTTATATTTGTACGAGGTAAAAAAACAAAACAAAAAAAAAAGTATAGATCATAGATCTTGATCAGAAATGCAGGATTATTAGCGCCACAATTGGAGGTAAATGGATTTACAGGAACTTGGAAAATGAATAAGATTAGAAAACAATAAAATTTGGTGTTAGTTATACGAAAAGCTAGCTATGTTTTAGAATATGCTATTTTAAGAAAGTAGTTAGTTAAATCTTTTAAAATTGAACCAAAGAGATGGATCACATTATAAAATTTATCATTATGATAAAAAGTAAAGAAACTTTTCTGTGTTAGTTATTGGAAACGCAAACAAATTAAAATTTTGACAAATGAGGAGGAGCGTGTGTGGGCCATTAAAAAGTTGTTTCCAACTCAAACCCAAGCCCATTATGAGTTCAAGTCGGGCTCATTCTGTCTGGTTGTTGATACTTAAAGAGTTGAAGTTGATTTCTTTAATGAGAATGAGATGAGAGATTAATATTATTCATTTACTTTAAAGTGAAGTCTGGTTAATGAACAATAGTTTGTTAATTGTAAACCCAAGCAAAACCCATTTTAATACATATTAAAAGATTGTTAGTTTTAATCTGAACATTTTCAACTT